TTGATGCTTCAGGCATAGGCTCGGTTCCATCAATATAGCCCCACAAACCTTTGCCTTCTACAAAGAATTGAAAATGGAATTTCCACAAAGAAAAATTCTTTCCATCTAATTTGATAGCCAAAGTCTCATTTTTCTCAGTCATTGTTCAATCCAATTCCGCAGCAACAAATCAATATGCAAATCAACCAAGGAGAAAAGCAAATAAAAGGGTAGTCGATATTACCGTCAATACGAGATGAAAAACCCAATCAAGAAATCCAATCTCCAATCCACACTATGGTCGTGACAAAACAGACAAAACAGGAAAAGGAGGAATCTGGGTTGGCTTCAGCAGGTCGGACCTCCGATACTAGGCCGAATCTGGGTTGGCTTCAGTGAGGAATCTGGGTTGGCTTCAGCGCATCGAACCTCCGATACTAGGCCGAATCTGGGTTGGCTTCAGCGCGTCGGACCTCCGATACTAGACCGGTGGTTATGGAGTCAAAACCCCTGGCGGCGCGAAAGAAGAAGCTCTGCCGAAACTTGCTTTGATACCATGTAAAGTGAGGCGGAAGTGGAGGGTGCAAAACCAAAATTACAGAGCTGCGCACCCTTAGCAGCAAATATATATAAGGTCATATAAAATGTAGAGTTACATAAAAGCCCTTAATATAAAACAAAATTACAAAATATGCCTATTTCCTACAATTAGTTCTTCTCATGATAGCGATTAGACACAGTCCAAAGCAGACAACTCAATCTATATAAAAGCAATGCATCACCTCTTGCCACTACCCTTCACCCCTGCATCCACAAAAGAGTAAAAGAGAGACTGAAATTGAATTCAGAAAAATAAGAAATTGAACAAAAATGAAATCCAAGATAAAAGCAAGAGAAGAGAAAGACCAGATATCGCTTTGAGTACAGCATCCTGAGGCAAACCATTTCTGATCTTCTTGCCTTTTTCTCGGTTGTTCATGCATTTTCTTCATATGAAATTTCAATTGTTTGTTTGGATGTAAATGCCACGGTGGTCATCAGGTGATATACCTTTGAACCTTCTCTGTGAAATCTATATTGAATTTAGAAAATAGTAATTGAATTCAGCATTTGCTTGGTTTTCCTCCGAGCCGGCATTATGGAACCTACGCTATTCTTAGGAGGAACAAATAAAGAAAAAGATGTAAAGCTTTTTCATGTAATTGTGTGCCCAAGGCACATTTTAAACCCCGAAAGTAATTAATTAAAGGAGCGACTCTTCAACAAATCAAAATGTCACTTGAAAACTTTAATAAAAAGCATCCTTTTAGCGGTCTGGACTGGTTGAAAAACCACCAGTCCAAGCATGAAATTCGAGGTTTGCCTCCAATTTCTTCTCTTTCTCTTACCATGCATCAGTGGAAAACTTGAAATTTTATGTCTTGGGTTAAGCCAGTCCAAACTAAAATAAGGATTCTCTGTAATAAGTTATAGTACCACTCTAGGAATCATGTAAACTCTTAGGATAAGATATCTGAAAATCATCCAAGGTCAAACTATAACACCTATGTCACACGATGCAAACAAAATACCAGATTTACTTATAATCTTGATCATGTAGGCTGCTCAAGTAGAACCTGCTCTTGGAAGAGTAAAGCAATTGAATGGGTATCAGAGCACTCCAACTTCTGTTTGGAAGAAAAATTGACTACAGATATACTAAATAATTGGAATACAACTTTGCCAATCTTAGCTGAATTTTTCACTATATAAAAATTTTGTCCATAAGACATCTACAACTAACTAAAAACCATCATTTTAAAGGGAGGAGAAATTGCATGATCATATTTAGATTTTTGCTTTGTACCTTTTTCTCAACCAAAATTATCCCTTCATTTAACTGATTCTGCAGTTTTGCAGTTCTTTATCGCCCAGATTGTCTAGCTCCTTGACATTCAATTGTCTACAAATTGGAATTGTCATTCTGTCTCCTAAATCATTGAAGATGCTGTAGGTTCATATTTTAGTGTATGTGAAATAGAATTAAACAAATGATCATATGGTACAAAATTGAGAAAATATTGCGTATACATCATAATGAAAATCACACAAACATGTATGTGTAAGTGCTTTTAGGTACCACTTTATGCCCCTGCATCTACTTCTTTCTGTTTGCGGTCCATCACTTGATGGAAATTAGATATGACTTTAATTGGTTTAGTTTCTTTTCTTCAATTCTTCATCAATATGGAATTATAAAATCTTAGGATTTCATAACATGTTTGTGCTGTCCACTAAAATAAAATGGTAACAGACATCCATTATGATTATTATGTGATCAGACGTCCATGTTAATATAAATGATTAGACACGGTAACATATAAATGATTAGACATAGTAACTTGTTAATTTCAAGAATATATGGTTCTGGTTTTGGTTCTAGGATTTCTTCTGATGCCTCACAACTAACGCTTAACAACCCTTGTTTGGCACATTAATTTATTTTCAGAATCTTGCCACTCTGTCAGTTTTTTACTTTCTAGATAGGGTCACTGCTGTTGTTCAACTTGTAGTTCAGTTGTATGCCTGCTCTCTACCAGAAAAGAGAGGAAATTGTATGTCAA